TATGCAAAATGAAATAAGTCAGAGGGAGAAGGTCAAATACCGTATGATTTCCTTCATTAAGTAGTAGATAATAACAACAATAAACAAACACATAGACACAGAGATTGGATTGGTGGTTACCAGAGGGTTGGGGGGAGGGAAGAGGGCGAAAGGGATAATTCGGCACATGTGTGTGGTGATGGGTTGTAATTAGTATTTGGGTGGTAAACATGATGTAACCTATGCAGAAATAGAAGTATAATGATGTACACCTGAAATTTATACAATGTTATAAACCAATGTTACTGCAATAAACAAAAAAATAAAAATAAAATTCACATCAAGTGAAAAAGAAAAAGAATGTTTTACTGATTACATGTTGAAATGATAATATTTTGAATATGATGGGTTAAATAAAATATATCATTAAAATTAATTTACCTATTTTAATATTTTTAATGTGGCTACTAGAAAATTTTAAATCACATCCATGGCTCACATTATATTTCTATTGGACAGGTCTGTTCTAGAACCTTTTGCTGTAAATAGATACATGTTATTTTAGTCCAAAGAAACAGGATTCCTTCTCTACTTGTATTAAGGTGCCAGTTTAATTCCTTACTAAGCATCCTTTAGCTATATCCACGAGTAAGGTCACCTTCTTTCCTAAAATAAATCTGTAAAGCGGAGGAACAGAGAAAAGCTGCAAAAATATTTACATGTGGGATCAAATGAGTAATCTTCCTTCAAGCATATTAAATCTCTTCTTTTCACTAGTTGTCACTATTCCAAATTGCAGGGAAAAAGCAAAATTTCATGCTGTCTTCATGTTTGCTGCTTTGGTCCCTGAGACCCTTACATACCTGCTCTTCGAGAGTCTCTAGTAACACAATCACACCAGCCGCTACAGTATTCACCTCTCTGGAGCAAGTAGGTTCTTGACCTCTTTCTGTCCCGGCTCTGTCACCAGGCCCACAGGCCCTCCTGAGTCACACCTCTCTCCCCACGCAGGGAACCTCAAGCTGAGAATCTTGGCTGCGAATCACAGCTCTGGCAAAACTGGAAATAAGTGCCAGAGGCCACCAGCTGGCCGGCATCCCGGCTGAGTTTATTTATATCAGAAATATCAATAGACAGTGGACACTCCAGTCTGTTTTGTTGAGTCCCTGAGCGTGCTTTGTACTCGATTTTCTGGATGATTTATGTTGCATTCCAGAAACACAAATTCTCCCTCGTGCACTTAATAAACGCATCCATGTGGTCTTCAAGTTTCGACGTAACAGAGCTGTCCCCCTTCCTGGGCTTCCTTGCTTGGTTCCTTTGGGGGTAGGATGGGGGGCTTCCTGATATTCGGAATTCCCACATATTGGTAAGAAGTGAGTATTATCATAACTTTGTTATAATTGCAGTGCACCTTGTCTTAATTCTAAATGATGCCGATCTTGGTAGGCAAACAGAGGACAGAAATCTGGAATTGAATTATAAGGTAGAAAGCTGGAGATGTATGAAATCAGGCTAAGGCAGAGAGATGGGTGGTGTGCTGGCCCAGGTTCCCGCTCTGGAGCCATATTACATGGGTTCAAACCTCAGTACTACCCCTCACTAGCTGTATGACTTTGGGTGAGTTATGAGCCCTTATGGGCCTCAATTTTGTTTATTTTGGATAAAAGCAATGTCTATCTCATTGGGCTGACGTGAAGATTACGTGAGATAAAGCATATAAAGCACTAGAACTGAGCTTGGACCCTGTAACTCCTCTATATACAGCAGCTGCTAAAATCGTCAACGTTATTATTATTAATAATCCTAATCACCTCCCAACTTGTTGGCAAACATGACAGATCTTCACATCCATAAGTTGATCCTTACATCTAAAACCATTCCAGCTCTACATCAATATTCTTTAGTTTTCACATAAGACTTTATCTCTCAACCTAAGCCATAGGCCTGCATATTTTCTCTGCAACCCTCTTTTAAATGCTGTTGTAACTTTTTTTCATTTCTGAATATGAACCAAAAACGGATCTAGAACATCAGGACTCAGAAAAGTAAGAGAGGCAAAAGGCATGTTGAGGGGTGACCATCTCTGTGATTTGTACCAGACTCTACTCTAGACTTCTGTGATACTGACAGAAGTGGGTATGAGGGGGAAGGGGAGAGGCCATGTCTGCAATGGGACTGGAGAAGGCTCGAGAGCCAGTTCTAGAAAATGGCACCATCTTTAGGAGGAACCAGGAACCAACAGGAGAAGGACAGCAGAAGGCCCCAGTGAGGTACATAAACCACATTCCAAAAGGAGCAAGAGAATAAAGGAAACGATTGAAAAAAGAGCTGGAACTGTGGTGGGAATACATTCAGAGCCTTTAACACACAGCACACCAGGAAAAGGCAGAAGCTGAGGGGACAGTAAAGAGGAAGACATCAGGCAGGAGATGGGACCCGAATATGTCACCTCTACCCTGACCATTCTTCATGCCTGTCTTGAATCCATCCCAAATTTATAAATTTAAATGTGCAAAAAGAAGATATTTCTCTGAAGGAGGCAGAAACCCAGGGATAATTTCAGCCTCTTCACTTTCCTTCCTCACCCACATTTCCTAAATTCCTCTACTAACTAACTGCCACCAACAGGGACTCATATCCTAAATTCTCCTCCCACCTCAGGTCTGCCCTGCCTGCAGCTCTGCCTGGCAGCATTTCAGGCACAACATTTACAATGAAAAAATAAGCCCTAAATATTTGTCCTTAGCTACTGCAAAGAAAGGGGAGGCTGCATGGATAGTGTCTGGCCACATGCAGGCACACACTGGTGGCAGCCTCAGAGAGGGAAAGCAGGCAAGTTGGGGACCTGATGCCTCTACTTCCCCAGGGCTCAAGACGTCCCTCCCAGAGCTTTCCCACTGCACCATGATGCTGCTTGACCTGAAATCTTCCAGAAGCCTGTTCAGGTTAATGTCTCCCATATCTGTGCTGCCTCAGGTGACTTCTACAGGCAAATCATTTCATCGATCAACACCAGGTAGGCACTGACCTGTCTCTAACTGCTCCTGACACAGGACAGGTACTCTTAACCCAGGATTAGAACAGTAAGTAACAAATGCTTAAAAAAGCTAACCCAGTATCTGTTCCACATCAACCAGGGAAGGTGTTATTTTGCCTTCTCTTATCTTCTTAGGAGACCCTATTTTCAAGTCTCTTTCCTTCTTCTTCTTTTTTTTCCCCATAAGAAAACAAAACCAAAGAAATGGCTGGCAGATGAGGAAGAGAGATGGCAAAAATAGCTCCTAGGTCTCTGGTTTGCAGGGCCCTGAATGGATGGCACTGATGTTCACCACTTGGTTTTGGTCATGGTGACTGCAAAAGGCTTCTGTGACATCTGAGAGGAAATGTTAGATAGGCCGTTGGATATAGGGTCTGCAGCTCAGAAGGAGAACTCTTAGTTGGAAACATAAACCTGAGAATCATCTACCTGAGCACAGATGCTCACTGAAGCCAGGGGCTTGGATAAGCTCTCATTATGACAGAAGGTGCAGGGAAGACCAGGCCTACAACCGAGCATTATCAAACTCTCAACATTTAGTGGCAGAGCAGAGATGCACAGATCTGCAAGCTGCAAGGGAGGCAAGGAGCAACCAGAGAGGTAGGGAGTAAACCAGGAGAATGTTGGAGAGAAGCCAAGGGATGAGGGAGCAGGAGGAAGCCTCTTAAGTGACCTCCTCTTACCCAGTGCACCAGGTTAACCCGAGCCCTCCATGCCTTCTAGGACACGTGGTGGATGCCCCCGTATGCTGGACGCTTGAGGCTAGTAGGGTGCTGTCTAGTATACACCCAGGACCTTCTGCTTCTCCAGCCGTGTCGTAGGCCTACCACAAGCTAGCTGGGTATAGTCCCAAACCTGTTTATGCCAGTTGTACTAGTTATAATGAAGAAGTTTAATCAAATGTTACACAAACTGAAATATAAGTAGTGAACAAGAAACGTTCCTAAGAAACCAAACTTTCCATAAAAGAGCTGCTAAAAGCAATGGCTGTCAAGGTGGATGAGGGTGAGGACGTAATAAAAGACAAAGGGAAAAGTAATTTTTAAATGTACAATGTTATACTCAGAGTGCCTTGTGAGCATCAAAGGTCTCCCTCCATCTTAAAAAATTTTAATTGAAAAGTTTAGATAGTATATTCTGGGGTTTACACAAAAAGATGACACCAATGTTTAATCAGGAGAAACCTTATCAAAGACCACATCCTTAAAGATGGGCACAGGAATGTACATTTTTGTTTTTATGCTAAAATAAAATGTTTAAGGCATTGTTTTAAATGATTCCCTTTTCAAAACAACTTTTTTGATTTACTGACCAACTATGGTCTCCACTATGACGATGAGAGAGTGGTCAGTGTTGCCAAGCAGTTCAGTAAGATGAGGAACAGAAAATATCCCCGGGATTCAGAGACAGCTGCGTGTGGAGAAAAGCAACTGAAGTCAGGCTGCAGACAAGTCAACCGTCATCCGACAGCTCTGCTGCCTCTTGCTCCCCAAGTATCATATTCTTTTCCACTTAGTGTTTTAAAATTTAAATACTGCTTTTTAATCTGCTTTTCTGAGAACCACGCTTTCAAAGGATTTTACAGATGATAGAGCCCTTAAAGATGATGGTGATGATGATGACGATAAAAGTGTTACAGAAATAATAACAACGATAGCTGTCTCCCATTGAACATATATTGTACACTTGACATTGTTTTATGTGCTTTACCTGCATCCTCACTCAATTATCAAACCACTCCTGAGCTATGTATTATTATCTCCATTTTAAAGATGAGGAAACTCTGGACCAGTGAGGTTGAGTAACTTCCCCAAGGTTGCACAGCCAGTAAGTGGTGAACCCAAGATGCAAACCCAGGCATTCAGAGCCTATGCCTTTAATCTCTATACAATGAAGTCTCCCTGATTATCTAAGCCAGTCCCCTCATTTTACAGATCATAAAATGATGTCCACATGGATTAAACAACTGGATATGGACACATGGCTAGCAGCAGAAAGACCCCTGGACTCCAATCCAGTACTCTTTCCACTATACCACAGAATTGTGACAAAAGCAGCAGAATCAGAACAAAATGCCTCCTAAAGCCCAATGTGCACCGCCTCCTTGCTTCTGCACAACTGCGTGCCTCCATGGTGTTCCTTCCTCGGCTCTGCACTTTGTTTAGGTTCCAACAATAGTCAACTGCTTGGACCAGTATTTTCCTTGAAAGGGTGATCACAACAAAGCCTTTCTTTAAAATGTAATGTTTATTTCTTCAATGAATTTGGTTGTGTGATCACAGTGTATTCAATGTATTGAATTCAATGTACTGGAAAGAAAATACAGCACGAACGTGTGCAACATGTTTACTGCCGCAGAAGTCTATAACGGGAGAACCAGAAAAATAAGAATAGCTACATAGCAATTATAAATAATCATCATAAACCAGACTTCCTTATTTTCAGGGTAGGACAAAAAATAAAGCAACTGTTTAAAAGGAAATCCAATTTTCAAGTTTAAATTTTAATAGTGATATTCTAAGACATACAAAAAGTGGGGCCCGATGTAATCCAGGTGAGAAAATGCAAGTAACACGTTATTGACCTTCTCCATACCCCTGGACTTCCTGCCCACAGTGTGGAGGTGGGAGGCAGAGGACAAAAGTCACAGCCAGTAGGTGAAGAGAGTGTCATGGCAGACTCTACAAACACCTGATCAATCCCCGTGTGAGCTTCCCCTGGTAGGAGAGGGGCTTTTCCTCATCCACCGCTGCTCTCCTAATGGTAATCATTTGTAGTGCTTTTCTAAAAACCCATGTTCACATATCTTTACAGGCTCAAGGTTTGATAGGAATTGCCAAATTGCCCTACACGTTGGTCTTACCAATTCACAGTCCAATCTGTGGAGTGAGACCATGCATATCCCTACATTACTAACCCAATAGGTGAAAAATGACCCTGTTGATTCAGAATTTCTATAATTAATAATGAGGTGGGAATCTTTTTATAGATAATATATAAATATATAATTATATCTTTCTTACTCTTCACCTAAGATTCCTGCTGACCATTTTTCCATAACCTGGCTTATCTTTTTCTTACTGATTTGTAGTAAGATCTTCTATAAGAGGAATATTAGTCTTTTATCTGTTATGTATATTGAAATTTTGCTTGTATTTTTACTACACAAAAGTTTTTAAATTGTGTATGGTCAAAACTTCCAAAATTTTAAGGCTTCCAGGTTACACGGCATAATTAGAAAGAATCAGGCTAGTATCTTTACATTTAAAATTCCCTCTATAGTTAAAGGTCTTGCCACTGACTCCTAAGACAAGTAAATGCTTTGAACTGGGCTTCCAACTATGGTGGTAGGTTGTGCTGGGTCTCCAGAACAGTCCTAATGAGCTGGCTGTGCAAATGCACTGAGGTCCAGGAACAGAGCGTTTGTCTGAGCAGGGCCAATAGCCCCACAAAATAATGAACTAAATATTTAGGACCCTTCTTGCTCTGAAGCTACTGAGATATTTTACTTTTCCCCCACTTCTATTAAAGCTTAGATTGTAGATTCCTTGTGTTCATGCCTAATATTATATTTTTCTTGGCGATTCAAAAGACATGCTGTCGGAACATTTTACAAAAGGGGGAACTGAGGCTTCTACCCTCCTGGACCCACGCTATTTGGGCACTGCTGGAGAGAATCACAATTCAGACTCCTGGTCTCCAGCATCAGCAGGGCCATTGCTGCCCATGTCTCTGGGACTGCCTCTCCTAACTAGCCTAGGAGGAATTACAAACTTGAAGTCCTTCTCATCCACTCCATGACTCCACCACCATTTCCTTCCTGACGATTCCATGTGCCCCACACTCCTAAATCTCCACCTTCTGAGCTCCAGACCCATATCTGCAGAAAAAGCTCCATCTGCAAATCCCACAGGCAATGAAAACTCAACATGTTCAAAACAAAACCCTGCCATCTTTCCAACACTTTCTTGCCTCCTGCATTTCCTCGCAGCTTATAGCATCACAATGGAGAGAAACACAAGCCTGAACCCTGGAAAACAACATAGACACCCCCCCTCCCTCTTGCTCTTCTCTACATCTAATTGGCCGCTGCCTTCTGTCAAGTCTCTCTCTTGAACTCTCCTTTCTAAGCCTCCTTCCCCTCCACTGCCACCCTCTCAGCCTTAGGCAGCCTCCCATTGCTTCCCATTCACCATGCCTACCTGCAGGCTGCTCTCTATGCTGTCTACACCAACAGCAGGGCGGTCTGGTGAAAACACAAGGCTGGCACACCTTTTCCCGGCCACAAAACCAGCGTTCTCACAGGGGATGGTACTGCCTCCTAGGGAATATTTTGGAAATTTGGGGGGGGGGGGACACTATTAGTTACCACAGTAATAGGGAGGTCATTACCATGGGTGAAGGCCAGACAAGCTAGACACCTACAATGCACAGGGCAGCCTCACAAAGAACTGTCCCGATTCCTATACAATTTTCAAAAATCCCACTGGACATTCTTTGCAGATGAAAAGCCTGTCTATAATTATCCGAGGTTAGAATTTCACTTTGCTTTACATATAAACAAAAACAATTTTGCACAGTTTAATATACACTGAATTTTCCAGGAATGCACTCCTGCATAAATCAAGGGAGATCAACTACCAGAAAACTGTTTCTCAACAGGGTTGCTGAGCACACCCCTATCAGGATCACCTCGGGGCAGGGGAGAGCACATTTGCTTAAAAAATGCAGATTCCCAGGCTATGTCCCAGATCCACTAAATCAGATCTGCATTTCAACAACCAGGGCCATTGACTTCTTTGCTCACTCAAGTTTACGAACAATTGTGTGAGAGGCTGTTGGGAACCATATTCTGAAAAAGACTGAAAAAGACTGTTAGGCCAAGGGTGAGCTCACTGGGAAATAGTTCCCAATTGACTAGTAATGCCTGCATGGTGGCAGCAATGGGGGAATAGATACAGATATGCAAGATCCCAATCTCTCCTTTCTCCTCTCCCCCTCATTCCCTGTCTGTTTAGAAAATCCCTACTCATCCTTCACAACTCTTTCCAGAAGACACTTCTTCAACCTACCCTCAAGGCCTCCCTGTATATCTCAAGGCACCATCTAGCACTCTCAAGTTAACATAACAGTTTTCTAGTGTGTCTCTCCCAGGAGGCAGGGACTCTGTCTTGCTCATTTTGTTCTCCCCACAACTAACCTCCTCTTTGCCTAGCTAATAACCAGAATTCATCAAATACTTAGCAAATGAATAAATGATAAAAAAGGACAGAGCAAATACAGAGCCAGTTCCTGGGAAGCACAAGACGGCAACACAGGCTCTTCCTCTAAACCACACTGCCTCCCGTTAAGATCCCTGGGTCCTCCACAGATAAGGAAAGACGGGCTAACAAGTGAAGACTGGCAGCCAGCAGAGCCTCGCACTGCAGCCCCAGGCCTTGTCCGGGTGTCTGGGAGGAAGACCTCCAGGCCGTCATCGCCTCCTCCCTCACATAGTCGGACACTGCCGGGATCAGCAAACAGCTGCAGAAACAGCCGCCCAGAACCTTCCCAGTTTGTTTAGGTGGTGCGTGTGCAAGAAAAACTTGCTCCGTGGTGTTTTTCTTTAACTATCACTTGGAGGAATGATGTTATTTTTAGGGGGCGGGGGTCACCAAAGAGGCTTATTTGGCAAATGAACACAGTTTGTTCGCCGGAGCTTTGCATGTCTGTGTGAAAATCCTCACACTAATAGCCGGCAGTTTTCAAATCCACTGGGAAGAGACTCCATAAACAGACTGGGGGAGGGAAAATAAAAACCCCAGGATGACAAGCATGCAAATGAACCCTGGAACCAGGCACAGAACCAGTGTTGACAGACAGAAAACAATGAAGCCGGCCATAT